ATCATTGTAGCCGCAAGGCTAGGAAGGCATTATAATAGAAATTCCAATCAAATATTCTGAACCACAGAAGCCTTAGTATCTTCATGGGGTTTTGCGATAAATTTGCCGAGATTTGAATGAAATCAGCCAAATTCAAATCCGGAAATGAGACCAAAAAAAAAAAATTCAAATCCAAATCTGTTTAGCCCACGACTTGTGATTTAGCTCTTTTTTGTCTCATAACTAATTGCACATCAGATCATAAATATCGCTGTGTTTTGTCGGCAATTTCGCGTCTGAATACTCACTTCACAAGTTCCATGTGCGGCTGTCAAATCGTCTCCAGTAGTCATTAACATTAAGTCCGATAAATTAAGAAAATTACTAAAATAGGCTGTTTGATCGTTAAAATCACGTCCCTCTCTGCTTGTATGCTTAATCGTTACTCAGGGCAGTAAAACTTTCTGCGAAAACCATATGTTTTCAGGAAAAAAAGAAAAAAAAACTACATTTTTTGTTGCGTGGGTCAAGAAAAAAGAACAACAGTGGAGTACTTTTAATGATTACCAACAATTGATTAATTTTTTAATATGTTAGAGAGTTAGTAGGTATGTCACGAGGATGCTGATTGCTTCGCAAACAATTTTGCAGCCGCTGCTTCCACATCATGGCCACACTGTATCAGCATTGCCCGGGCCGCTGCTTCCTCAAAGCCCAGAGACATCAGCGAGGCCAATTTTGCACTGTCCACTTCCTCTGCAAAATCAAACAGGTCATTGGGGGCATCTGGTGGGCAACAGCTGGGAAGAGCAGTCACAAATAGCAACATCCCGTGCTACATGTCGACTGTTCGATTTTGTCTCCAAGGCAGTCAAATTACCTACGATCCATTGATCCGGTCAGACATTAAACTGGTACTAGTGCATGCCAAGGAGCACAGTCACCAGCTTTATCTACAAGCAAGTTCTGCTAAGGGGAGCCATCGAGAGCCTTGCCTGCTTACGACCGATGTTTGCAATTGCCGTCATTGGGGCTAATTTGGGCTGCCCTCGTTCACAAACAAGATCAACAGAGAGGGTTTTTAACGTTCTTTGATATTATAATAAACAAAAATAGCTAAAATATTACTATTTAAAAAAAAAAAAACCAAAAATTTATCAAACGTCCCTTTAAAATGGCTTGCTTTTATACCCACTTAGGGTCAGTAAAGCTCTCTATGAAAATCATATGGCTTCAAAAAAACTGCAGATTCTTTCTTCGTAACGTGCGTAAAAAAATATTACAGATATGCAAGATTCCGGAAAACATTGAAGAGAAATTGGAAAATTTATTAGCTTTTCATTACTTTCAGCCGAATAGTGACGAGGGTTGGCAGACGCTAGCACATAAAATATTTTTAAGCCATAAGGGTCGCGTTAATTGTATAAGTAAACAAAAAATTGCTTAAGAGGCTCAAGCATTGCGAACATACCATTTTCAGTAGCAGAAGAGTCTGAAGGTCCTGGATGCGGTCCTGCGTGAATTTGGGGTACTTCTGAGTCGGGTAGAAAATGCGTTACTGCTGATTCGCCGAATCTAGAAAACACACAAGATTTTCACTGAGACCTGTTGCACAATCTTCCCTTTTCAGTAAGCTTATCTGTTTGATCTTGCCGCACCGATATCAAATTATGGAGATATCTTGGGGTTATCACCACCCTGGCTTATCAGATGAGATCAGTCGATAAATCAAGTTTATTCAACAACTTATAAGTAATCCTTCGTTTCAACCGCATCTATTCTGTTTTATCCTTCGTAATCCTAACTGCAAACAAAACACATGCGCAGCACCGCGGAGTTCATTTGTGAATAACGCGTTACGACGAATTCAGTGAGCATAAACAGTCATAG